ATACACTGTATGTATCCTTCATTTTCCATATATCTATCCAGAAATATGTTTTATTCAGTTTCATTGTAGATCTTTGGGATGTTTTTATTCCTGGATAGTTCCTCGTCTGATATAAAGCTTCTTTACAAATGAAGAATAAGTCCTTATACAGAACAGCTGTTTCTCTCAGCTCTTACAGAAATATTTTACACAATACCAAAATAGCCTCAAAACAAAAATAAAATTGACTCGTGTATTTTGTTTTAATTCTGCCTCATGGGCTGTGAATTATGTTCCTCTTGCTGTGAATTCCAGCTGCTTCTTTTAAAAGCCTAAACTCTTAGTTTTTCACCCTGTGCTGCCGTATTGTTCGATCCTGTTCCCCAAACCAAATGTCAAAACAAAGCTCGTGTTCCTGTTTCAGTCTGGGTCACTTGGTGCCGATTTTCATTCTGTGCGGTTCAAATTCAGGAAGTTTTTTTTTGCTGGAGAGCGCACCACGGCTTTGCTTTGTCATTTAGGTGCTCGCCCTGCTGCCGTCAGAACAGTAGAGACGACCCGCTCCTCTCTGCCTCCTCCCACCCCCTCACCTCTGTGTGTTTCTGCTCCCCCCCTCTCAGGCACATGGCTCAGGTGGACCTGAAGAACTCCACTTTCTGGTTGAGAGCCAGCGTCGGCGCCACGGTGTTCGCCGTGTTGGGCTTCGCCATGTACAGAGCACTTCTCAAGCATCGGTGATCAGGCAGCATGAAGACAGCTGCTTCTTCCTCCTCTCCTTTTCTCCTCCCTCCTGAAAGACTTTAAAAAAGAAAAAAAAGACTGCCTGACCAACCAACCCTTCCAGCTCAGTACCTCAAACTCCACCTTTTCTCTCAACACAACCAACAAACAAAAGTATGTTTTATATGAGAGCGTGGGGTTTTTGTGTATTTATTTTGCGAGCAAAGGAAAAACTGTCAGTCTGTTTTTAAATACATTCAATCTGTGATATTTTTTTGTTTTATTCTCAATGAGATTAGATTAGCATTAGCCTCTGGATTAAACGAGCTGATCAGGTCCTCTGTTCTTCCTCCGGTCTTCGTTTAGACCAGAGAGAAGCAGCTGAACACAGGCCTCACAAAGGGATTGACTCAGTTTGTAGTTAGACGCAGTATATTATGTATGTATGAATTAGCTGAGCGTCACAGGCCAAAAAAATACACATCGACAGGAGTTTTTAGGACAAACAGTGCCACGTCTGTCACCAGAATGGATGCTTTGCACTGCATTTATTGTTTTTGTTTGTGTGTTAATTTATTAACAAGTCTGTTTTTGTATTCAGTATTAAAGCTGTCTTCATAGCTCATCATTTACGACCGYTTTTATTTCAACTTCAGCTTCWTTCTGTTGGAACGGCCAAACCATGCGCAGGACATCTCTCCTACTTTAAGTGTTTCTTCACATTGTTCTCTTTTTTTCAGCATCTCCAATAAAGGACTATTATCTGGCACAGCTGTGTGTGTGCGTGTGTTGTTTTTTAGGTGAGATGACTAATTTGAACAAAAAAAAAAAGAGAAATGAGGACGGTTATAAAGGTTTTTGCAGTGCTGTTAGCTTTCAAACCTGCCTGCCGGTTCAGGTTTTATTGTCACCAAGCCGGGCTGTGGGAGGCAAACAGAGAAGTGAGTGAGCAATGAAACTGAACGGTTCTCAGCTCGTGCGAGGAGGAAGTGGTGCCAGATGAGCAGGTAGATGGAGTGAAAACAAAGTGGCCTGAGAGGAGCTGCCTTCAGCTGAGTTAACATGTCTGTGGATGGGACGAGGCTACTGTTCGAGGGATATTTACAGAAAAGAAAAGATACTTTGGTAAGATAATTTTTTTATTTTTTGAATCTCTTCTTCCTGTGAGCTGATGTCTAACTGGTTGCCCTTTATTCGACCAGAAAATCAGATGGGTCACCTACTGGTTCAGGCTTCAAAACACTACCTTGTTCTTCTACACGAAGAAAAACGGCAGTGCTGTAAGTGCTGCGGGGCATTAATTCGCTGTTAATATTCACATTTATTAATACAGAAACTTGCTCTTGTTCACAGTCTCACCTGAGAGGATATTACTACATATACAGAGTGAGTCATCTGTTGTGTTTGTTTCAAGTGCACTGCAAAAACTGTCCACCTAACCAAGTTTTAAAATCTTATATCCAGCCAAAAAAATCTTTGATCTTGTTTTGAGACTGATTTACTAAACAAGAACTGATTGTGTAAGAATAATCATCTTGTTTTCAGAATGTGTCAGATTATTTGTCTTGTTAGTCTGAAAATTTGACTCAAATTAAGTCAAAAATTTCTGCCAATCGAGTAAGAAAATTTTACTTGGTAACATTCTTGAAATACTTGATTTTACTCAATTTTTTCTTATTTCAAGAATCTTACCAAGTAAAAATTTCTTACTCCACTGGCAGATTTTTGACTTAATTTGAGTCAAATTTTCAGACAAACAAGACAAATAATCTTACACATTCTGAAAACAAGATTATTATTCTTACACAATCAGTTCTTGTTTAGTAAATCAGTCTCGAAACAAGATGAAAAAGACGTTTTGGCTGGATATAAGATTTTAAAACTTGGTGAGATGGACCGTTTTTGCAGTGATGAAAGTACATTTTTATACAAGAATTCTGTTTAATTTCATTTTCTTGCATATTTAATGAAGCTTAAAGAACAGCTTTTAAACAGGAACCTTGTTATGATAATGTGCTGTCACCTTCATGTCTCTGAGTCACAGTTATTTAAATCTAAAGTTTAGATTATTATTTTTAAAAATAAATCACATTAGTAGTTACTTAATTCGGGACTTCCCAGTGCCTTTTTTCATTTCTCATTATTTGCTTTTGATGTTACTGTAAAGCAGGCATGGGCAATCCTGGTCCGGGAGGGCCGCAGCCCTGCATGTTTTACTTGTTTCTCTGCTCCAACACACCTGATTTGAATATAGATGATTATCAGGCTTCTGCAGTACGGAGGACCAAAACTGAAATAATTAGAAATAAAACCAGATTTATATGAACCACTAAATAAATACATTTAAAATGCACCAATTAAATTAAAAAAGGAGAACTTTATCTCCTGTTTTATATTTTAATTGATTTTCTTATTTATTTTTCCAGGTTAGTTCCAATAAATTAGTCTATAT